GCTAATCAGAAATTAAGGTGCGGTTCACTGCTGTGGTCTTTTTATGGCTTTTAACAAGAGGATGTGCTCTGGGAGCTTGAGGGACACACATGAGTGACATCGCTCTGCTATTGTGAGACCAGTAACAAAAACTAAAAAAGTAGCATATTTTTAATTCCAAGGGTGTCTGGTTTGGGCATCAAAACACCAGTGTTGAAAGCAGTTAGGGAAGCCAGTGCTAAAGAGTGAATACTAGGATTAGGAACTATAATTGGCCAGACGTTCCCCCTTGGTCTGGAGGGAACCACATTTTGTTCCATGTATGCACCACTCTGGTCCATTCTCACAGTAGGCATCATGACAGGCTGCAGCTTATCAAGTGGTGTAACCCTGGACAGCAAGCCTGCCAGGTGTGAGTAAGGCTCCTTAGAATCAGTCAGAGATGAGAGGTGGATAGGTCTAAGACTCCAGGTGTCTATATACAGCTGACTAAGGAAACCTCAATTTTCTGTCTTCCAGAAGGTCCCTTGCTTTTGGGGTACCTGTGCATGATGTTAACCTCCTTTTGATCCTCCACCAAGTCAGACGAAAAAAATACATAGCCTCAGCCTCCAATAGGATTAAAAAGGACCTTTCAAGACCTAGGGTTCTGTAGCCCAGTCACTGCCCGAGCTTAGTATTTCCAAGAGTACAAATGAAACCTGATGCTCCCCTCAAACAGTTGCCTCCAAGGATGACCCCAGGACACCCCAAGTCATCCCCTAATCACAGTCTTCCTCTTTGGCTTGCTTCACAAAATAGAGTGCTTATTACGGTTCCCCTGTGACTGCTGCAGTTACTCTGCAATACGTTGTCCACCTTAATGAAGAGCCCTTAGAAGCACAATTCTAATTGGCATTAATTCCAATATTTTTACGTAAAATCTGCTCACTTAAAGTTAAGATGACACCTTAATGCCATCTCAATCCAGCAATTTGCCCAGAATAAGAAAAGAGCTTCATTTTTGGAAAGACTTACTGCTAGATTTCAGACTACATTTTTAAAAATTAAAATACATGGACTGTCTTCATCGCAAACTCTTCCTGAATATTTCATGTGTTTTGTGCTTTATTTGCTGTGCATATCTTCAGTGTGTGTATTATTCAAATATTCCTAACAGATGGTTTCAAGTGCTACATATTACATAGCATTAAATGAATAGCTTGGTAAACAAATGAGTCAAGGATTAAAATATTTTACAGCTTATAATTCATGAAAGATGTTCAATAACAGTACATTAAAGAAAAAAATTCTTCAATGTAAACATAAAAACATTAAATGCAACTACTGGATTAGTCAACTGCTCATGACAAACGAATCATTTCTTTAAAAGAGGTGTCTGTCCTGTACAGTCTCTTATAACCTAAATTAATCTGAGGTTGACAACTAGTTTCCCAGTGAACCAGGCCTACTGTTTCCCTTCTCCACCCAGCTCCCAGTTTTCTCTGTCACTTTCCCCCTCATTAATGCCTGCAACTAGGAAAGGAGATGAAACTTATAAATCAATTTGTTACTGTTTAGACGATGGGTAGCAACATTTTGCTGAGAGGTTGAAACCTCTCTCAACCTCAAATTGAGGATTCCAAATTAACTATGGTTTTAATATCTGTGCTTTCCAGTTTCCTAATATTAGGTTTGTACCATAGGCTACTCTAATGTTTGCCACTGAAGTTTTCATTGAGGGTTTCCATTATTAAAATAAACAATAAATAAACAGAAAAACAAAGAAATGAAACCTAACAACTTTTGCCTTATTAACTTGGAACTCATTTCATAGTGTCAATGTTCCAGACATTAGTTCACTGAGGAATAAAAAATACTCTCCCTATTGGATGTTCTCACCCCACCCTTATTTTAAATTATGTTACTTAATTGAATGCATAATGGTCTTTTCCTAATCGTTTAGGGTTTCTAATATTTCACGCAAGACCTAACAGGACTTTTCAATTTCATTCTAGATCTCTCTAGAAACAAAACCTCAACCCAGCTTTGACTGTGAAAAGAACATAAGATTTCTAATAAGCAAGTTATTTACTGGGAGGCCGAGGTTAGTGATCACTTGAGTTCAAGACCAGCCTGGCCAACATGGTTAAAGCCTGCCTCTACTAAAAATACAAAAATTAGCCAGGCATGGTGGCACAGGCCTATAATCCCATCTACTTGGGTGGCTGAGGCATGAAAATCATCTGAACCTAGGAGGCGGGTGTTGCAGTGAGCTGAGATCGTGCCACTAGACTCCAGCCTGGGTGACAGAGCAAAACATCATCTAAAAAAAAAAACATTAGAAAGTATGCATTAAATAAAACCTCTCATCTAAAGTCACAAATGGGCTTCATTTGTTATCTTGAGGTCCATTACACAATTTCAGGCATATATTGAAAACTTGATTCTGTCATACTCGCTATGTGGCTGCATTCTTGATTTCCTTTTCTACATGAATATCTTTTACCTCAGTTAAGGCCTCTGTGAGGTTGAGAAAGACGCCCCCCTTAACCAAACTTTGCATAGTCAGGTCAGATCAACTGGAAGACTATTCTAGCAGTTTTACATTAAGGCCCATTGTGTATTTTTTTCTTCTCAATCACAATACCAAATCTTATTGCACAAACAAAACATGTATCAATAATCAACAATATTTATCATGTATCTACTCTGCATAGCGCATTATTGTACTTATGTACATTCTACCTACATCAAGTTTCATCATACATGATGTTTTTCTTTAAAATATATTCACCAAAACACTTTTAAAAAATCAGTTGATAAACAAATTGGCAGGGAAAGTTACATTAGGCCAACCCCCCCCACCCCGCCAAAACAAACAAACAAAACAGTATTCTCCAAACCACATTAAGAGAAATAAAGTGGAGAGGGTCCCTATCTCAGTGGTTCTCAAATCTGAATATGTATTAGCTCCACCTGGGGGGCTTGTTAAAATGACTTTTTGGGTCCTCCCCTCAGCGTTGCTGCCTCAGTAGGTCTGGGGTAGGGCCTGAGAATTTGTATTCTAACAAGTTCCCAGGTGATGCCAACAGGGCTGCCCTGGGGATGACACTTTGAGAGCCAGTGACAGGGCTGGGATCAACAAGCATGATTGAATTTTAAATAGCCAATGTAAAGGTTAAACTAGGAAATCAATGGCCATTATGTTTTAATTGAAGTATGTATTTTGTACACTAAAAGTCACATGAGAATTTATTCACTATTACTGAAAACTATCATACAATATATGTGATTTGACAACACAGCACAATATACGTGAAGTGATCTTTGGGACACTAGTAATTTTTATATATTTTCTATCAAAAAGGCAAGATCATCATCAGTAAGATATTGAAAAGTCACAACTACCACAAAAGAGTATGTGACAGATCCCAGGGTAACACTTGAAAATGCTTTAAACGTTAGAGCAGTGACTCTCAGACTGCACCTCAGGTTACCTGCACTGTTCTCTGAAAAGTAACTGCAGTCAGGTTCAGAGACAGGTATACTGGCAAATGTCTTTTTGAAACTACATTTTTAAAAATTGTGGTAATAACGTTTAGCATGAGATCTACTGTCTCGACAAACTTTTAAGTGTCTAATATAGTATTGTTAACTATAGGCATAATGTTGTTCAGCAGATCTCTACAATTTACTTATGGTGCCAAGTGAAATTTATAACCATCGAATGGTTACTCTCTATTTCCTCCCTCAACACAACCTTCATCACCCTTGAGAAAGTCGTGGGCTGTGGTTCTCAGTCTTACATAACACACACACCCCACATATTCCTCAGCCAACCCAGTTTTTTATTAAACATAAAATCACTTGGAGACAAAGTAAACAACAACCCTCCTCCAAACTGTTCTTACCATGATGATGACGACGATAACTGATGATACATCAGAAATACTGACTCACAAAGAAGAGATTGCAGTCTAGGTGTGGTGGCTCACACCTGTAATCCTAGCACTCTGGGAGGCCGAGGCAGATGGATCACTTGAGTAAGGAGTTTGAGACCAGCCTGGCCAATATGGCAAAATCCTGTCTCTACTAAAAATGCAAAAATTAACCAGTTGTGGTGGCAGGTGCCAGTAATCCCAGCTACTCAGGAGGCTGAGGCAGAAGAACCGCTGGAGCCTGGGAGGTGGAGTTGCAGTTAGCCATGACTTAGCCTCTGCACTCCAGCCTGGGCGACAAGAGCAAAACTCAGTCTCAAAAGAAAAAAAAAAAAGAGAGAGATTGCAAACTGGTGGCCCTTAAATTTTTTTGGTTAAAAACAAAATGAGTTAGTGTCAATATTTGGAAATCATGTCATATAATCTGTTTTATTTTCAGTTTCTCTAGAAAGACCAGTTTAGCAATCTTGGACTTACATTCATTTCTGAATGGCCACAATGAGCTGGAGCTGAACAGCTGTTGCTCCCTTTAAGTGCAAAAAAAAAGAGCTCTCCAGATTGCCACTGTCCTAGGTAATCCCATTTTTGAGACGAGTCTTGCTCTGTCGCCCAGGCTGGAGTGCAATGGCCCAATCTTGGCTCACTGCAACATCCACCTGCAGGGTTCAAGCGATTTCCCTGCCTCAGCCTCCTGAGTAACTGGGATTACAAGCATGTGTCACCATGCCCAACTAATTTCTGTATTTTCAGTAGAGATGGGGTTTCACCATGTTAGCTAGGCTGGTCTCCAACTCCTGACCTCAAGTGATGCGCCCACCTTAGTCTCCCAAAGTTCTGGGATTCCAGGCGTGAGCCACTGCACCCGGCGAATCCCTAGTCTTTTATGTTCCACCCGCCTATCATCCACTGTACCTACCTGGCTCTGTAAATGTTTGAGTTTGCCATTCCTGCAGTAAGGGTTATAGCACAAATGAGAAAGTTTGCTGGGAACTGCACATAACCCCCAGTCCCACTCTTAACACATTTTCCCGTCATTTGCCAGAGCATAGCAGAATGTAACACTGTAAGAACAATAATCTTTATTCTAATTTTTTTTTTTAAAAATCACATGCAAACTTTGGTACTGATGTTAGTGACCAATCATAGTACAGCTTACATTTTACCACAACACACCAGTAATTGAAAACCTGACAGAGAAACTTGATTTTGTGCTTCCTAGCATAAATTTGGCTTTTAGTATGCCAAACAAATGATGAAACCATTGAACATTTAAGAATCAAATTTCAGAGTGTAAGGACTGTAAGATCAAAATTAAGCACTTTTAGTTCATGTAATTATAGGTACATAAACACGGAATTAAATATTGCTTATAAGTATAAAAGTATGAAGCTGTGGTATCATGTAAAATTATTTGAGGAAAAATGTCAAATATTGGGAATTTAGGTCACAAGCCCTACATAAAAAATAGCTACCTTAACAGACTCATAATAGCTCTCTACTTCCAAATTATTTACCCCAAATATTTTTGTCTCCACAGACTAAGGAAAAAGAAACGTGTATGCTGTGGGTAGGTAGAAAGAAGAATCTAAAGACATACTGGGAGAAATAAAGGGGCAGGTTAAATGGGCCCTGCAGAAGGGACTACAATTCCAGAACAGAAAGGTATTCCGGCCTGCTGGGAAATCCGTTGTGCCAAATATGTATGATTTATGTCTAAGACTACATATGATTCACGTCCCATAATCTAGAATACAACTACCTAATACACTGCCATAAAAATGTACCCATACATTGGATGCAGAGAGGTGCACTTACACTGCTGTGTTGAGGGGACTGGAAGTGGTGACTGATTAATGACTTCTGGTACGAGCTGGAGGATAAGAAGTGATGAGAAACGCTATTGGGTTTACCAACCCTATTCTACTTTCTTGAGTACCACAAAGGCTTTTCTTACATTTCCCCTGGAAGCTTGTGCATTCCCTACCTTACAGGGTTGTTGTGAGACATAAAGCATAAATAGAAAGTGCTCGACATAGACCTTAGCCTTTATATAATACTCAAATATCATTTCTATTAAATTGCAAGCTCCATCCCTACGAAGGGATGTATTATATGTAGAGGGCATCCACATATTTGTTGAAGAATGTTCACTTATACTTAAAAACTACTCTTTTGAATGACTTTTCAGAACTATTTTCATAGTAAAATAAGTTTGCAGGTCTTACAGAATATGTGCTACAATAAACCACATAAGAGGCATCCTAGATAATTATTAAAAGACAAGGAGGACTCATATATAAATCCATTATGGTAACTCTGTGGTATCTGTAATAAATGTTGACAACTGAATTAAGTTTAAACACTTTAATCAACTATAAGTCAATAATCATATATTATATAAAAATTCTGATCCATGCATCAGATTACATAAATTATACAATTGTCACATTATACAATGCTTACATACTTCTGAGTTTGTACCTGCAAAAATGTATACAAGTTATGAAACCATTTACTTAAGAAGGTAAGTGTTAAACTCTTCAGTTATAAATAATGCTTCCATCTTTCAAATATCTGCTATATATGCATTTCTAGATCTGCAGCATTTTTTTGTACCTCAAAACACAAACCATCTGGAAGCTTCGAAGATTAACAGGCCCATGTGTATCATTTATTAGACTTCAATTCCACTGTGAGAGTGCATTTTTTGATGGAGAAAATAAATGGAATAAAATATCAACTCTAGTTTAATGCTTGAAGAGCTTCTACACCTTATTAAATATATCAGAAAATGCTTCATATGCAGATTAATTATCAATTGCATATTAAATACTTCCAATGGTTGCATCTGGATTATTAAAGTTCTACATGTGTGCAAATGGGGGTTTTTCATGTGTGCTGACAGACCCTTCCATCTACCACCATGGCTCAGCAGCACTGTGATCCTTTCCCTTACTTCAAAGAGACCAAGTGAATGAGCATGCATCATACTTTACTTACATATACACACAAGTGACACCTACCACCTACAAGACATGAGTATGAGGACTGTAAGATCAAAAAAGTTTAAGCTTGATTTACAAATCCAAGGTAGATCACTTTTTCTGAAAAGCTACAGAGAAAAATAAAAGCTCTACTGTAACGATTACTGTAGATACATTAGACAACAGTTTTTATTTTTGCTTTTTTTAGATTCTCTTTGTTGAAGAAGAATAAGCACCCTTACAGGGATGGTCGGCAGGAATGTGTGGTGGTGGGGGAGTTGGTGGAGGAGTGACATGAAGAAAGCAAGTCTGTCACTAATGAGCTTAGTTTTACTTAGGTTTCCACTCATGAAACCCTTTTAAATACAAGGCAACATTTTCACAGCTGGAAAACTACAACTAAATCTTGATTTACTGCCTAAAGCAATAGATGTAGTTATGTATAATCTATGGATAATACTACATTCATGGGACGATGGCAAAACTAATCTCAAAGCAGAACATAGCAGCAAAAAGTAATACTTAAATATTTTTCATGAATGGGTTACATGTTATGTTATATACAATTCTAAGATACGACCCTGGTATTCAATAAATGAAACTTGAAGCATCAGTGGTAGGAAGGTATGTTCAGTATTTTTAAAGCTGAATTTTAGAACTGGTTATAAAATAATACTGCTTTAAAAATGATAGCAGAAATAGTTTAATTACGTAACAGAAGTATGTTAGCTTAAGGTAGGCTTGAGATAAGTATCAATTCTGTGATTTAAAAAAATCTTCTTGGTGGTAGAAGTGTTTTGGGGCATGCATTCTCTTACGCATAAAAGAAAAGTAAGCTCTATCTATAATCTAGTGTGCTGTGCATTATTTAATGAGCACATATATTTTATTTCCATTTGTAAGCAACTAATGAAATATATCGTTAAAATACTTAAAGTTACATTTTGGAAAAATAAGCTAAGGTGACCTTTTTGGCCTCTTTTTCTACAATACTAGAAACTAAAACTACTCTGCACTTCTGCCCAAACACAGAAAACACTGATATGTTTATTTGGGAACTTGTTTTTAGTTTATTATTTTGATTGATTATGAAAATATGCAGTAAGTTTACTCTAGGTAATGAGTGAAAATTCATAAACATTAGAACAGCAAATTTTCAGGCAGTGATGAATGTATTAACAGATCCAGTTTTAAATATAGTACTTGTCTCGGATTTAAAGATAAAAATTTTGATTGAGTTATAACCAAATCACTCATGTATGAATAGCCTAAATCTTAACAGGTTTTATGTAGGAAAAAAAAAAATCACTCCTTAAAAATCAATGTCTTCATTGCAAAGAATAGCAGTACTTGAACCATACTTTTAAATGAGCTCTATTTATGTAAAACATAACCCCAGTAAAAAACTGACATCTTGGTTCACTTCTATAAACAGCAAACTTGGCCAAAGCATATTATTATAGTGTCTGCAGATAATGTCATAATACTAAAAACATAGATTTTGGCATTTTTAAAAGTGTATTTTCGAAAAAGACTCAATAATACTACCAGAAAAAACAAATGCTGAGAATTTGTAACATTTAGCTAATTAAAAGTGGCACCATGTTAAAAAAAATAACTACCAAGATCTCAAATGAGAAAGATAATTCTATACCAGATTTTGAGGTTTATGACACAATTTTAAGTGAATAAAAAATTGGTAAAAGCTATTTTTCCTTTTCCATTTCTTAAAGCATTTAACTTTTATGAAAAAAATATTCATAATTTCAAAATGCATGTTCTTACAGTAAAACTGAAATGCAGAAGATACAAATAACAAGGGGTTTTAGTTTATGAATATGAGCTTGGTCAAGTATTCTCTGATTCCAAAAACTAAAATAAGCAAACAAAACAAAACAAAACAAAACTATTATTTAACTTTCAATGGAGTCTTAACAGAGATAAGTATTAGAAAAAGTGCAATTCATGGAAGGATTGGGGAATATATAAGTCTCCATATGGAGATGAATTTTTCATTTTAAATTTAGAAAGACACAGATACTCTCAATGTTTTATAGTATTTAAGACTTTTAAGGCTGAAAAGCAGAAGATTAGCAATATTTTTATAACACTGCTTTTCAACTTAAATTTTAGAAGAATTTTGTACAAATCATATAAAAATTATCCATGGAAGAAATCAACATTTTGGGGAAGCAGGCTTTAAAATAAAAAAAGTTTGTAATAAATCAATTCTTAAAGGGTGGATGTGGAGTAATGCATAATGTCACGCTAGTAAAGGTCTGTTCTAAAAACTCACTCTTCCTTTAGTAAGTCTTATTTTGGTTCAAGACCCAAAAGCAACCATCTGCTCTATTATTTATGTAACCTGAAACCAAGCCTAATTCTTCATTCCTAGAATCTGCCCACTGCTTTGGGTTATCAGACACCAGATAATCACATACTTCCCACAATTATTATCAGATATAACTTTATAATATTTGCTTTGCTAGTGATTTAAAGGCATGCAGAATTTCAACAAAACTAACAATATTAGCTTATATTCTGCTTATACCTTAAACAAACTCAAATGTTAAGATAGTTAATTCAAAGAAATTCATGCTGTTGTGAAGTTAATGAAATCTCCTAAAATTTGTCATTCTTTTAAAAAGAACTTGAGATCATTACTTTTGGGAAAAGAGAAAAGCTTTGTTGCTAGAATGATACATAGCAGCTCACTTTGAAACCAAGGTCCATGTAGTCAAGAGTGATTTGAAGCAGCTTCTCTATAACAAACCACGACAGTAGGAACGATGACTCGTCTTGCATTGAGAGCACACACAGTTTCAAATTAAGAAATTGGTAGCCTAACTTTAGAGGCAATCAGTTGCTTCTAAGTGTTCTAAAAACACATGTATATATGAGGTATATGCCTATATTTTATATACAAGATACATGAATATATATTCACGTACATATGTGTATATAAAACATAAACTTTTTTCAGTAGTGTTTATAATGAGCAGTATTCCTGAAGCTAAATATTTCCACAAATTGATTTCTGAGAAACCAGCCACAGTATCAATTCTGCTTTATGAAAAATCTATTCCTGAGGAACAACTCATGTACTTCTGAAGATATTTCTGGGCCTATGGCAGATTAGTTGGTCAGTACCAGCACCTGAGTGAGTCCTAAGGAACCACTTATTCATTGAGAATCTGGCCCATTTTCACTTTAAAAGTTTTAACTATTTAGCTTGCTTCTAAGGTCACTCTTGATAGTTCCTGCTAATATTTACAGGTAAAACTATTTTTCAAAATGAAGGAGAATATGTAATGAAAGATGATAGTGTAGTCTCTTTCCATTAACAAGTCCATCCTTCCTCCCTCCCTTCCTTCCTCCCTTCCTTCCTCCCTCCCTCCCTTCCTTCCTTCTCTTCCTCCCTCCCTCCCTTCCTTCCTTCCTTCTCTCTCTTTGTCCAATTATAAATACAATATAATTGGCTTTATTAACTGTCAGAGAATTTGCCAGCTTTCCTGGATGGTTCATATGGCACTCTGAGAATACTGGGTGTTTCTTCCATTACCCTTACAAGGAGGTTGTCAATGTAGTCCTCGAGTTCCCGGATGTGGGTGTCTTTCCTCCTAAGGAGTTCTTTGTGTTTCACCAGCTCCTGCAGAACCTCTTCATAGGTCAGACTACGATACCCTGCAGTGGCATCAAAGGGGTTGCTGTCCTAGAACAAGATAAAGACTGTCACTTTCGTAGATATATCATCTGGGACAAACATTAAGAATTCTCTAGAACTTCGACTTTTTGTTTTTCAAACCCTGATGAAGATTTTCGATAGCCTTGCTTATCGAACTGTGAATGAGACAGTTCACAAAAAGGCTAGCCAGTCCTGAGGCAAGAACTAGGGCAGGTGCACCAAAGCTTTGGCTATAACTCTAAATCTTAAAGCTCTTTTTAACATTGTTGGCAATTTCTTAATATCTGAGACTGGTTATATCATTTAAGATTAAGAGGTGAAATGTTCTATAATAAATACAACTAAAATAGATAAAAACTAAAGATCTCTAAAAGTTAACTCAGAGGAACTATAAGAAGCAACTGAAAATGATACACTTGGATATGTGTAGCGAAGACGGAAACAGCAAAAATATTTTCCGATTTGCTACGAAAATGGAATTAAATCAAAGAGTATCCTTATAAGAAGCCCCATGGGAGTAACTTCTGTTATAATTAGAAACAGGCAGAACTTTTCCTCCCCTGAGTAACTGGTCTAGTTCTTTCTCCTAGTAATAATATCTAATTTATCTTCTTTCTTTTTAACCCTGGTTATCAGGAAACTCAAGAGTTCAACTATATTAATACTATGGTTAGTATATTTGCATCCTCTCCCATTTCATCTATTTAGTTAACTTTATTGACAAAAATTCTTTCTAGGCAAAAGCATAAATATACCCCCCAAAAATTTTTAAAAGACATTTACTAATTGGCTATTATTATAAAGCATTCTAATATTACTGTTACATCAAAAGCTAAAGAAAAATATTTCTCAGAAATTTAATCAAGGCACTGTAACATCACCTCTTATTTACAATATATAGCACTTATAATTTTCATTCCATAAAATACAATGCCCAAATACAAATAAGCAATTTTTAATTCTTTTTAAATCATAGTTCTCCCACTAAACCCAACCATTTAAAATGATTTTCATCACTATCTTTCAAAATATTTCAATTTGGCTTTAAGGAAATCAACTAAAATACTGAGGAAATTGGTTTTCTTGCTCTTAAGGAATACTACCTAATCTGTTCAGTGGAGGATGGAGAATGGGGACTGGTGAATGCAGAATGACCTTCCCCCCATAAGAATTAGACTTGTCTTTCCCTATTTTCAGGATCTACTTTAATAGTGGTATGTGTTTGGGAGTTTTCACCAGTAAAGCCAAAGTTTAACTTTCACTGGCCCTCCCCAGTTCCCCAGCCTCTCAGCCCAAGGAACCAGGACTTTACCACACCAGAGAAAGAGAAGCTATAGTACAGATACCAATTTGATGCTTGGGTCACTGAAGCACACCCCCTTCTCCAGGATAAGTGAAAAAATTCAGGACTGAACACCTTTTCCAATTTCATAGAATCTCTCAGGCTTTGTGGAGAAAATACAGCTTGCACTAGGCCTTCAAGATTTTGCAGGCAGAAGTGCATAATGGGGCATTTCAAGCAGTGAGCTCTGCTTGTTCAAAGGAGGAAACTAGGCTCAAGGCACAGTGGCCAATAATGGGTAATCCAGTAACAGGTACTTACTACAGCATGGCTGGAAAATACGGTACAGGACAGTGAGCAGAGAGGGGCTGAAATGGTAGGTTTGAAATAGACCACCAAGGATGCTGAATGGTAGTATAAGGAATTTTTAGACTTTTGCTGAGGAAAATAGGAAGCCATTGAAGGTTTCTAAACAGAGAAAGGATATGATTAAAGCTATGCTCTAGGAAAAGTAAAATGGCAACAGTGAATCATTTGGGGGGTTAAGATTAGTTATATGGCTATTGAAATATGAAAGACCAGAGTTAATAAGAATGAATAGAGAGGATATTAAAGGGAAGTGAGTTTAAATTCTATAAAATATATCTAAAACAACTTAGTTTATTTTAGCATTAGAAACTGGAAACAGATGTAACTTTCAGTTATGTTTCCTTCATCCTTAAAAACATTTCAAATATTGTTCTAAAACCATTAAAGCACAATTACAGAGACAAGTGTTGTTTTACTTTTCTCTTCTCTCTCAGATCAATTAATCGTTTGTAAGTCTACACACACACACACACACACACACACACACACACACACACTCTCTCTCTCTCTCTCTCTAACGCACATAGCTACTAGTTTAATTGGTCATACAGTTTAGAGATATATAACTTAGAGATATACAGTTTAGAGATATATAACTATTAATACATTCTTATAAAAAATTTTATTAAGCAGTTTTCTGCAGTAGAGAGAAGACATACTATGGAGTTCAGTATGCTTTTGAAATTTGTTAAAAATAAGCTAAAGTTTCTTACTTCAACCCAAGTAGTAATTCTGCATAAATCTGAGAGAGAAACCAACCTAGGTCTCACTTTCCTTATCTGATAGATGAGATGTTCTCCATGGTCCCTTTCAACTCTAAAATTGGTATACCAAGTGATTTTTCTAAATTGCACTTTTAAAAGTAATAAAGTCTAATTAATGTGATTTCACTTTTCTAATAAAACATTTACTGAAAAATTCAGGATTGAGAATTGCAGGGATTAATGAAAGGAAGCTAAATGGGATGCATTACTGATTAGCTGACTGCTTTCTGTTTTTTCTTATTTAACATAATAAAAGCATCTATTCGAGTCTCTCTAATCTTAATAAAATTATACATATACAAACTGATTTCTCCAAACTAGTTAAGCAATGAAATAGTTACAAAAAATGTGCACTGTTATATTTAACACTATTACCAGTTAACCAGTTAATGTAGTTAAAATTATTTTTAACAGTTCTCTACAGGCACTGAAGATGAAAGATGTGTCAAAACTTTGTATTTTGACATAGTTTAAATGAATGCCATCATATAAATCAATTTAACAGTTTAATCTTTCAAAATAATCAATTACTATTTCAGACTACTGGTCATACTTTATAGCCATACTCTAGAATATACAAATATGTTATTTGGATTATATTTTTTTCCTTACAACAATCTAACACTGATGTATACACAGATTTCCGGGAAATACATTTCTGGTCTTTTCAATAAATTTTTCATTTGTCCTTTTATGTGAAAATTTTACCCCAACTTTCAGCATCAAGTTTCTAGGCAGGAAAACATCTTAGAAACATATGTACTATGAACTATACTCTGGAAAAGAATATAAAATAATTAAAAACAGTTTCATGCTGAGTTCCAGATTTTATACTATGTTTGAAAACAATGTAAACCTTCTAAGTTTAGGCATAAGATTCTTAAATTGACGATACTCTCTCTTTCTCTCCCTCTCCATAATAATATATATATATATATATATATATCTCTCTAAAAACAGATATATATATATATATATATATATGTTTTGTTGATATAACTCCAAATAAAATAACAATTAATAGAAACAACAGAAAATTAAAATATGTGCTCATTACAAAAATTATTTTTTTAAAGAGGAAAACTCTCAGGCAAATATAAAAAAAATTTTTTTCAAAAGATACTTTTATTATTATTCTTGGAAAAGCTTGCAAAATTCAGAACTCTTCAAACTAGCAAAGACCAAATGCAACCTACAATGGTTACTCCCAAGTGCTCAATATTTTTTCTTACTCTACTCTATACAGAAAACATTGATATTTTTAAGATTTTTTTATTTCAAAATTTAATGTAAATTTTTCTTCTCTTCCCTTTTTACAACTTTCTCATTTCTACCCCACTTCTGTTGAAAATGTCCATATGCAGACATAAGAAGACGTGGACTAGAGAATACTAGAATTACTACATGAAGTTTTCTAACCCAGAATTTTAAATAATACAGTTATGCATAAGATTTTGAGAACTCATAGTGATCTATTTTTGCTTTACACAGTCTAGCCATTTAAACTAGGAAATGTACATTTTTTACAATATTTAAATTTAAACAAAAGCAAATTATCAGGACTCAAAATAACTGAAGATTTAAAGAAAGGTTGTCCTGGTAACCAAATATTGGTGGGGTACTAACTGACATCCAAGGCAACTAGAGCAGAGAGAGAGAGAAAAATGAAGGCTTGGCATTCTCTGATCATCTCATTATTGTTCTAATGAGGAACTCTGCTCTGGGAATATCATCTCAGCTACTTTCACATCTTTTGTCCTACTCCCTTCATCTCCCTTTCAGTTCTTAATTAGGCCTTAAAGAGCTCACACTGCCCTTTCAACTGGCTACTGCTCCTGTTTAAACACTGTGTTTTCACAGACAGGTGTTGGCACTAGCATATAAGACATACAAACTTAATTACAAAATACTATGTCCAGAGGGAAAAAAATAACTTGGTGGATGGCTATTATTGGAGAACTTAATGTAAATTACTTCAAACATCTTATAATCTTCCACATAAAAATTGTTCGAACGCTTTTTTTCAACCATGATCAGTATGAAGCTGTGCTTCCTCCTCTTAATTGTATCTTGCAGTAAATTAACAACACCTAGTAATCCTTTAACTGTCACTTAGAATAGTATTCCAGAGAAAAATAATCACACATCAAGGATTCTTTTATCACCTTTAAATCCTTTAACTAAAACAATTTTCACATTTTACTTCTTTAAAGAATTCTAAGGATGCTTTTACAGCAATAAATTACAAGATTTGGAAAAGTACATTTACAAGCAATCGAAATTGTAATTAAGGTTACTTAATAAACAATAGCTACATATTAAATCAATTTTTTTGATGTTGCATTTTGTTTGAGATTAAGTAACCGCCTGATAGAATTCATTTTACTATCTGATCAAAGGCTGACTTCATATTTTCTCACATTTCTCGCCAGACTGCCATATTATAAAGACTTGAGAATTTATAAAACATCAAAACTTATGAATCATTTAAATAAAACAGTAAGAACATAGTACAAAGTCCTGTGCTTCTATGACAGTTTCCACAATTTTAAAGATAAACAACTGCATTTAGAATGGCTTAGAAAATAAACCCTAAACCCACCTTGGCTTCTTCTAGCCATGTTGCCTAAAAAAATTCCTACTATACATCTGGATCACATGTATCAAGGACAGATGGTTGTAACAGCAACCACCAGTCTCTTGGAATAAAGGCCCTATTTCTGTTATTCAGTAAGAATTCAGTTTTCTACCAAGAACATTTGCCTATATTTTGGTAAGGTAATTTATTCTCTGTTTAATATAGTTAGGATTGATTGCAGATGCAATGGAACTCTGAACAGAGATTAAATACTGGACTTCAAACACTACAATAAAGTTAAGATTATCTGAATAATCCTTGCAAAATACGTGAGTTGATTTAGGTGGTCGCTACCAACCCTGTTAACATATTTGGTTTTGTTCTGACGAGAAAGATAAGTGTCCTAAAGTATTTGTTCTTTCAAATACTTTCCTGGTTATCTGGCTCTCCTACCAGGATGCTTTTCTATTGTTGAATGTTAACAAGCAGCTTTATTCTTTCAATCCTTGTCCCAACAACAACAAAAAATAGCCTTTCTACATGCTCTTATCTCATAACCACAAATTTGACCCTGACATACAGCTTGCATATTAATTTCAAAACAATCTGTAAACAAAATATGTATATCCTAAATTGTCTTCATTTATAACCTATTTTGCTTAAACTTTCATATGTCATATGAGTCATATCCTTTTGTATATTAAAGGCAAATATTACATTTTACTTTCTTTCTCCTAAAATTACTATGCTAAGCTACAATCCTTAGTTAAGTGAGACAGAAGGCAAGAAGACAAAGACATTTTTAGAAATGTGAGCCAGAGAAAAAGACTGGCTTATTCTTTGACAACCTTCTAACCCCTTCAGCAACTTACCGGGATTTTCCTGAGGTCTTCATTGCTTGTCGGATTCATATGAAAACTAATAAAACAAACAAATGTTAAAAGTGTCATAACTCATGTGGGAGGAAACAGAAAAATAGAAAGATTTTAGCCAACATGTAATACAAATTCCTAAAGCCCTACATTATTCAGATGAGTGAAATTTAACGCAAGATGTAGAAAAAAATCCAGTATTTACTCAACATTCTTAAAGCATCTACAATTTTAAACTTTGAAGAAAAGTTTTTTAGTTATCAGAACTGAAGAATGAACTACGAAGTTTCTAAACATCTTTAAACATAGCAATTTTATCCGCAAAATATTTTGTAAAACTAATTTGTATAACAGATTTCCCACTATATTTATACACAATCACTCACCTTAGGCCCTCTGATATAAAACTAGGGAGAATTAAGTAAATTTAGGTTGGAAAGATTATAGAATAAAAGAGTTAAGCAATCTCTGTTTAAAAATGCCATAAGTGTTAGAAAAATCAGCTTTCAAACATTACTCTATCAATAAGAATAAATTCAGAATTTTGGGAACCATTTCTCTCATTAATGTGATTTCTAAGTAGCTAGTCTTGAAAATTTAAATAATGAACCAAAACAACACAGATTTCCTCCACGCAGAGAAGAAAACATCACAGCTGAATGCTATAACTATTTCTTCTTTGAAACATATCCATTAGACGCGACTGTAACCAAAAAGACGCTAAACTTCAAAGCCATCTGATGAATAAATATTTCATCGGCGCTTTTCAAGTTTAATTTTTACCCAGCACTTAATGGTATTAGCCTTTAAAACTTTCACAAAGCATTAGTGTCCTAGGAACCTTTTTATTCCATACACAAAACAACAACTGTAAAATATGTATGTTTTCATTATCTGTACCTTGACAGTAAAATAACTGGGATCCTTTCAAAATTTAAGAAATTTACTTTTAAAACTTTAGATGGTGTGACAAAAAGTCTGGACACTGGATGTAATGTTGGTAAAGTATCTGTAATTATGTGTACAAATCCTACCCTCTAAGATGTATAGGGCATACACGCATGTACAATCACCTTCAGAGAGTTTCCCATGTAAACAAGATTTCATTGGCTATGACTAAGATTTAAAGTACTGGCTTCCAGAATTGATTACTAGACTTTTCGAACTAGAACTCCTGTGGATGAATTAAGTACTTCAGCAGAGCTTGGTGGCATGTAGAGAAGAGTGAAACATGTTTTAAAAACCTACAATGCACCAGTTAAAGGCCTGTGTGGCTGGCACATATTCTCAACATCATTATGGTGTTCTGCATGGCCCTGGACTCAAGTCACTATACCAGCAAAGCATCAAGAGCCCACAAAGGAGTGGCTTAAAAGACAAAAACTAAATCCAAAAAAGCATTCTCATATAGTCCACCTTAGCCTAGAGTGCTGTGGTAGCAGCTGCTAACACATGTGGTTTCCATCCTCTCTGATTTTCAATCCAAGGTAGCCAACAGGGGGTCCAGTGGGACTAATCTCTCCTACCCCATTATCTCACAGCATGTTTTCCAATAGGTCAAGAAACACATTCTGCTACATCTCCCATCTGACTGTGATAGCCTAAAAAACAAAATGATTTACACTCAGTCCAGACAGCATACAAGGTGCTTGCAAGCAGAGAAGTGACTGGAGCCAGGTGGTGTGGATTCAAATCCTTGTTCTGCCCTGTGACCTTGAGCAAGTTACTTAACTTTGATTGGGTCTTGGTTCCCTCATCTGTAAAATGGAGACGGCAACAGTATCTGCCACGTAAGACTCCTGTGAAGATTCAATGAGTTAACAACATGTAAAACACTTAGCACTGTGACTACCAGACAGAACATTATTTTATATCATAAATAAAATAATAATGAAATAATTTTATGTCATAAATATTTACACAGCACTTAATGTGTGCCAGACACTGTTCTAAGCACTTTACCAAAATTAACTCATTTAATCTTCATGATCCTTATAGTAGTTTTATGGTCCAATACCTTCCACATCTTTATTTTAAAAGTAAGGAAACAAGTCACAGAGACGTTAGGTAACTTGCATGTGGTCATTCTGTTAGTAGCTGGTGAGGCTGCCTGGCTCTAGACTCTGTCCTCCTATGACACACAGCCCTAGCTCCATTCCCTGTACAGAGATTTACTTAGTGAGCACTGGTTGCACTGCAGAAGCCCTGAACATATACAGCACATAGATGAATCAGAGAATAACAACGTCTCATTTCAAGAAGGCGCATGGTAGAGATGTACTTGTGGGAGGTGGGGGAGAGCACTCTGGGTAATTAATTTTTTAGACCTTGGAGAGAAATGAAATGTTCTATCGCAGCAATTAGTCAAGGAATGCCTAATTCATGGAAAAAGTAGGATTTAAAATGACATGAAGGGTATGTTTCGCAGGCTAGACAAGGAGGGCTCTGCAAACATATGGCATGGCCTGGGGCTGTCAGACAGTAGCGTCACTGCAGGACACGGAGGAGCCTGGCAGCCCAGGCAGCAGGATGCGCAAGAGCCCATAAAGGTTGATGACACGTTCCTCAGGCCCGATCCAAAGAGCAGGAGGTAATATTTGGGCAATGTTAATCTTTTCTCTTAAATAGTATTTAAACATTTTCTGTTTGGTGGCATAATCCATCCCATTGCATCCCTGAGTTTGAACAATATTATGACTCTATACATTGCAGTGTATCTCTCAGGAAGAAATCACTTAAGTAAGAAACAGAAATAATGGTATTATATTTGTTGCAATAAGAGTTTTCAAGGAACAGACATTTAGGACAAAGATTTTATCAAAATCACAAAACTAACAATATATAGTAGCCAGTCACAGCTTATAAAACTAAAATGCAACTCAATGGCTGCTCAAAAATGCCTGAGAATTCCTAAGAATGCTGAAAAATCACAACTGTAAGGGGAAGGGTTTGCAGTGCGGTGAGCCCGGCGACTTCCCATTCTACCTGAGTGAGTCTGAGTGATCTGAGCCACCCTCTCCAGCTCCCCACAGTGCAGATCTGAGGGAGAGGCTCTTGTACTGGGTATTGTCTGAAGTCTAAAGGCAGAACCCCTCCTTTGTGGTCTGCTTTATATTCACACACTGACATGTCAAACACTTGACAAACTCAGTCATTCATGGCTGCCTTTTTTGATCTGTCCTTAAGGGGGAAAAAAGAGTTAACTGAACTGGATTGAATTAGCTTGGCGAAAAATAAAATGTCTCTATTTATTGAAGTGTGGCACCAATTTGTGATATCTTTCTCTTTGGACTGCCGTCCTCATGTCAGACAAGATATCAAATAATCCAGTCTGACTGCTCAGCCGAGCTGCTGACAGGTTAAGGAAAATGGTGTTTTTAATCAGGTGCAAAATAAACCTAGACACACTCACATTTAAAAAGTAGTCTACGTAAAATGAAACTCCAGAATTTAAACTTTTTAAATTAGTATTTTAAAAGACATTTTAAACAAAATGATTTAACATTCTGAAGTTTTTATGAAAAGTGTCAATAGTTTTACTTTTGTGATATTTCCAAATATTAAAAAATTTTTCCCAGTAAATTCTAATATTTGAAATGTTTTCAAATATTTTTAGGAGTCATTAGTACCTCTTCAACATCACTTGTTAATTTACCTCAAAGTTAAAATAAATAATAAGTAAAGAGAGAAGTAAATCAGTGAGAACTTGAAACTGTCCTTTAATTTTTGCTATGAACTAATCTTCCATATATAGGCCAAAAAATAACCCAATCATTATAAAGCAAAAAAACTGATCGCTGTAGTAATCACTATGGCATTTGGCAGTGATCAAAGTGTTTTTTTTTTTTTCTTTTGTTTCTCTTTCTTGAACATACAGATTCTTTTGGAACAAGAACACCTAAGGAGAAGAAACTATTCAGGGTAAAAAGTATACAGTGCTTGAAAAGTTTAAAAAAAAAAAAAAACCTACATAAGAACAAAGATCTATTAAAACTGGTTAACAGTGCTTTTATTAGACAATGCAAACCATAAATTCCTGGTTCTAGGATTTTAAATCTTTCAATGAGAAGTCACATAACAACAAGCTCTTTGGAGGGCATTTAAAAACAAGTATTTTTAGAGTATTTTAGAGTATTACTACACCTTCCATAATATCTCCTTCCAAACCCCATTCCTGCTGGAATGATAAAGCAAAGTCCATTTTGGCCTTACCCTGATTCATTTTGTATTAAGAAGTGAATTCAAATTAAATGTGAAATCCAGGAGGTGTGCCACCTGGCTGGGAGGAGGGAAGAGGAGAAAGAAGGAAGGGACAGAACAGGAGTAACTTTCTCAAACGCCAGTCAACTCCTTATTGTGTATGGGAAATAAGTATAACTTCAAACTTCACAGAAGAACTGACATTAATTATTTTTGAAGGAGCATGTCTTACCGATCTTGTTTAACCAAGTGGGCTCTAGAGACCTGGGGCTTCACTTTCACGACAAAGGTAGTTGGGCAGGGGTATATACTGAGAACTGTGACATAATATATTGTAATAAAAATCTTCAGTGAGTCTAAAAGGAGGAAAAGAGAAATACCCCATGTATTTCGTTGATAATGAAGTACAGAATAATGTCCTAAAAGCAACTGATATTTATTGGACTTTAACCATGGTACCAGGCACCTTTCTGAGCACTTTACATGCTGACTCACTTAATCCTTGTAACAATCCTACGACGTGAGTGTTATATTTATCTTCATTTACAGATGAGGAAATGGGCACAGAGATGGTAACAAGCTTATCCAAGGTAACACAGTAAGTGGCTGAGTTAGGATGCAAGGAAGGCAGACCCGCTCCACAGTCCAAGCTCTTTAGGCATAAATGCTCCTTCTTCCACAGAGCTGTTCTAAACTGTCAGTTCTACTGTGAGCTCACTGCTGGCTGGTTTCAAGGAGTCCAGTGCAATTTCATGAGGCTTCTTCCAATCAGAAATGATTCAGAAAAGTCTTAGACTTAAATAGTCTAAGAGACAGAATAATGGCTGAAATGCATTTGGAAATAAC